TGAGCCCGGGGGGCCGGGGGTTGCTGCCGTCGACCTCGCTCGTTGCGGTCCCTTGTGACAGCGGCCGCGCTCGGGCCCGCCCCAAGGGGCTGGATCGAGGTGCTCGCGCTGGGCCGCACCCGTTCAGCTCTCGGCGTTCAGCGGGTCCCTGGAGGGTCTCGGTGCTGACCCCAGGGCGGTGGGCTTGAAACCCCTCCCCCAGCTGCTTGGCCCTTCAGCAGCTGCGGTGCCAGACTCTTACATCTGACCCCACTCCTATGGCGTAGTGAGCCGCAGTCCCTCCGGCTGTGCAAGAGCCCAGGGTCTGTCTGGAAAAAGTCCCTTCCCGAGCATTGTCCAGAGGCTCTCTTGCTCCGCTTGCAGCTTGCTGTGCAGGGGCTTGAGCCTGGGTTTCAGCCCAGAAATATGAACCTGTTCTTGACTTTGTTGCTGGCCTCCAGACCTGACCTGGCTGCATTTGTAGTCACTCCTGTGCAAAGAGAGCTTGAGCCTGGGGAATGGCCTGGAGTGGAAAGGCCACGGATCCCAGAGGTCAGGGTGCCCAGGGACAGGTGTGGGGAAGGGGCTGAATCCAAACTCACAGTACGGGATTAAGTGTGTGCTATTAGTGCGTGCTGACTGGTGCCCCTTTAAAATGTGTCAGGTCATAACCAAAAACTTAAATTAAAAAAACTAGTGAAGTCACGTAAGAGCATTCTCATGCTTCGGTGGACCCTTGTAGGTTATTAGCTGGGTTAGAAGGATGATAGGAAGTTAGAAACTTCCTGGAGTCGCATTAGTTCCTGCTGTACTTCTATTGGCTTCTCGAGTCTGTAGACCTAAACCAGGTGAACAGGCCAGTAGAGTTTAGTTGATTTTTAAAAACTCTTTGTTCATCTATCCCACTCTTAGGAACAGCTCTGATAGTCTCTTCTGGGCTAGTTTTTACTCCACACCTGCAAATGTTTCATTTCCTAATAGAGGTAGTTAGCTTTGTTAATCTGAAGTCATTCAGAAGGCGAGGTAGATGTGTACCTTTATAGACTAACGAAATAAGATGTATACAGACTACAAGATTTCACTGCATCATTTCCTAATGATTTTCTTAACAGGAAGTTTCCTAATATTCAGCCTACCTTTTTTCACCTGTAGTGCTAGTTTGTACAGTTAGTGTACATGGAGTGAACTGGTATATAAATAGCCTGAGGAGCTGCCTTGTTCAGAAAAGTTTTCTCTAAAGATCTTGTGCCCAAAAAGTACAGAAGAGAATGTACTTTTTATATCTAAAATACTTCCTGTACCAGAAGAGCTTTCAGAAAGCTTACAGTGCAAGTCCATTGTTTTGTATTATGTGTTGTATGCCAAGAGAGCCTGTTAAATGCTTCAGATATATTTTTTCCTCTTGGCTTAGTCATCTTACCCATGCTAGTAGATCCTTCATTCATACTTCGTTCACTGTCAGTACCAAAGAAGCCCCATAATTACCTTCAGTGCCCGTGAAGGTTTTAGAACAGAACATAGCCTTCATTTAGGTGTCTGCACTGGCAGTGGTGTGGACTGGAGGAACTGAAAGGTGTTTGCTTTATGACTTTTTTTGCTCTGCATGTGCAGGCACAACTGTTCTGCTGAGAATTTTAGTTTTTTGGCCCTTCATGTACTGCCTCAAAATTGTTCTCCCTGTCAACTTCACTGGAATTGCTGTGCTGCTGACTGCTAACAGATGTTAATGAGCAGCAACACAGTTTTTGTAACAAGAGGCATGGTTTCCTAAAGTCAAGAACACCCTTAACCTTACAAGTATTGGCTCTGTGATGCTCCAGTCCTCTGGTCCCTAAAAGAGAGATCCATGAGTTAAAATACACTTTGACTGAGGAACTGGTTTAATTAGTTGAAAACCTATTCCCTCCCCCTCCTCAAAAATTCCAATAAAACTAGAAACAATTTTTAATAGAAGGTAAGAAGTACACTCACATTGTAATGGTGGCATTCAGAGCACTGTGTGAAATGGATACACTTGACCACCCGGCAAAACGGGCAAGTGCTGAGTCTGAGACAACACTGGTTTGAGAGTCAGAGAAATTTACCATATTTACTCAATTATAAGACAAGGTTTCCCCCCATTCAATATGGGAAAAATTAAGCCTTGTCTTATGATTGCATACGACTTATCTGAAATCAGAAAATGCACTGGGGATGTCAATGTTAGTGAGGAGGCCACATGGCCAGGCACCTAGTATGTGGTCAGTCATCAGAGGGCACCTGGGCACCCCTCAACATACAGGGTTTCTGGCTGGCCAGTGCAGTCACGCCAAGCTACCTGCCAGCATGTGTTGCATTGCTTTGGCACCCTCTGGCTGGAAACCACACATACAGCTCAAAATAATGCAGCAGGTGCAGGCCATGCCCTGTGCCCACAGTGCAGGGTTTCTGGCCAGCGCATACTGAGTTGCTCTGAGATGCTGCTCAAGTAGTGGGTGGTGGAGCAACCTGGCACATGCTGGCAGCCTAGCACCAGGTCCCTTTCTGTGAGCTGGGTTGTCCCAGCACTTGCTGGTTGAGCAGCAGCGCAGAGCAACTCAGCATGTGCTGGCCAGAAATCCCACGCTGTGTGGACAGTGCCTGGCTGGCACCTTTAGGTCACTTTGAGATGCATGTGCAGTTTCCCGTCAGAGGGTGCCGAAGCAAATTGGCACTCGTTGGCAGGCAGCAGCTTGGAATGACCCTGCACTGGCTGGTCAGAACCCTGCGCACAGCTCAAAATAACCTGGCAGGTGCCAACTGGGCACCATCCCTGCAGCATCAATTCTGGATAGATTACTGGACAATGCATGGGTACTATATGCAAATTGATATACCCATGTTTATTTTCAAGGTTATTGTTTTCAAATTTGTTCCTCACTTCCATGTGTGCAGGGAGAGCAGGGTCTGACAGTAAGGAGAAAGGGAAGGGTCTGCTAGAGAAAAAATGGGGGGGAAGCAGAGAGCAAAGGGCTACCTGATCCCACAAATTTGGTTTACCTGCTGTAGCAGTGAGAGGGGGACAAATTCGAGGCAAGCCTCCAATAATTTGATTCTATATCTGGAAAATGATAACACATTTTTATATTTTCCATATATAGAATGTAATTATGGGGGTCGTCTTATCATTAGGGTCATCTTCTATTTGAGTATATACAGTTGTTCTGTTCCTGGCTTTGCAACTGAACTGCTAAATGATCTTCAGCCATCACTTTGCCTTTACACACCTGTTTCCTTCTAACCCTTATGTAATTTGTTCAGTTTGTAAGCATGAGGCTTACAATGGACTTGTCCCTAATCTTAGCTAAGCTGTCTAAGCACTACTGTATTATTAATAATACAACTTGTATGATCTTTTAATCTGATGGTTTGTCACTTATATGTGAAATGGGCCAGAAGGGGTCACTGTTAAATGAAATAAAAGCAACAGTTCCAGCCTCTTCTGGCCAGTTCAAATGATAATGAACCCAAAATGTATTGCATAGCTGCAGGAAAAGGGTATTGGGTTGTAGGGGCCTCTTTAAAAAGAGTTTGTTTTTACCTTATAATTTCAACTATGGTCTGGGCTTGTAGATGAAATGGAAAAACTAGGTGAGAGGTGTTAGGGCTTCTTCATATCAAGATAATCAAGAGTTTGGAAACTTTTTTTATACAACCTGTCCACTGTGATGATTACAATGACCCAGCATGGTAAGAGAACATAATTTAAAATATGGTTTTGTAGAGGTTTTATAGTATAGTGAGCCAATATTACCATTAGGCACTACACAGATGCACAAAAAAGGCCTTGCCTTGAAGAGCTGATGGATTGATTTATTCCAGAATAGATTGATTTTTTTTCCTTCTAATGAGTAGGGTCTGGTACAATAAATGAATCTTAAATTAGCTTTAATAAAACCAGAGTTATACTTCTAATTTGTCTAGATTGCTACTTAACTTTTTAGAAACTAATATGCAAAATAACCAGGAAATTACAATAAACATATTTTCTTCTTGTATAGACAATGATTTGCAAGGAACTAATAGTTCTGGATCATTGGGTGGTCTTGATGTTCGCAGACGAATCCCTATAAAGCTCATCTCCAAGCAAACCAACAAAATCAAACCTGCACCTCGAACTCCAAGAAATATGAACAGGATGCCTTCAAAGACACAAGCTGGTGATGATGGTAAACTAAATAAATTAGTGCTGTGAGAGGAGAGGGAATTCATTTATTTTTTGTTCTGCAGTAGTGGTCAGATGCCCCATTCAGTAGCAGAGCCCTCATATGTTAGGTGCTGCGCGAACACATAAGAACATGTGACTGAGACATCCACATATTGTGTTATAAGCAGTAAATGGCCCCTGCCTCCAAAGAACAAGGAGTACTCTTTTTATTCTGTTTCTGTTCCTCTTTTTGCAGAAAGTGTCTAAGCATAAAATTAGATTTAGGCCCAGCTGACACTGAAATGCCATAGTATTTCTGATTGTTGTTTAAAATGCTCATCATTCTATACTAAAATCAGTCTGAGTCATTTAGAAAGGTAATAGTTTGTGTTGAAGTATGGTCTCATTTTTCCCCAGAAGAATTTGATTATAATGAAGAGGAACGATACGAATGCAAAGGAGGTGAAATGTTTGGGAATCAGCGAAGATTCCCTGGACCCATCTTTTGGGACTTCAAGGTACAATCTTGGATGCAGTGGTTTGGATGATAATATAAATTAAATTGCTCTCTAAACTTTTAAATGCATGGGGAGCAAGTTCATCTTTAAAGTGTAGAAATGAAATGAGATGCATCCTGCTTACCCTTTCAGAAACCAAATGAAAAATAAGCACTTCTCTTACTTTTAGCATTGCTGTAAAGGTATTTTGTCCTCTTTCTCAGATTGTGCGCAGGTCCATGTTTCTTAAGAAATATTTAAGAGCTTGCAAGCATATTGGTAATATCGAAAATAAGCCATCATAATATTGCTCTTCCTTACAGATTAACTTGCTAGGAGAAAAGGATGATACGCCAGTCCATTTTTGTGACAAATGTGGATTGCCTATTAAAATGTATGGGCGCATGGTGAGTAGAGCTACTTGTGGAAAAGGTAAAATTTGAAGCAGTTTTAGAAGTAGTTCTCAGTGGCTTACTGGCAAAATTGTAGGTAGCTAGTGGCTGTGTAACATCATTTATGATGGCTACTTGATATTTGTAAGAAAACATAGGAGGAGTCATTGATTTCAAGTCAGATTATTGTGAAAGAAGGTCTGCATCTCAGAGCAGAAGCAAGTAGACGTACCACTATAGGGCCAATTGATTTTAGGGGAGCTGTGCAGAACCAGTACGAGGTATCTCTGTGCATCTCAGTTCAGACTCAGCCACTTAATTTGTACAAGAATGCCAAACTATTCATGTTCCACATATTTTGTGCTGTTACCTTGTTGAATCAAGGAACAAAATGGCAGATATGGTGAAAGGATGGCAGACGCAATGTTTGATTTGTTCCCATTGTAATTAGTTGAAAAATACTTTTTAACGTGAAAGAATGTGTAAGAGGGCTATAATATATATTTAACATTAAAGTGACCCTTTTCAGGTAGAGTACTGTATATTAATGGGAGACTTCAGCTGAGTTAGTAAATTCTATACAGTAATCGGTTTTGTTTCTCTTAAAAGAGCAATCAAACCTAATACTTAGGATGAATTTAGAATATTGCCTATAATTGGATAGATGCTAATATTACCATAGAAGAAGCTTGTGGCACATTTGTTTATTTACAGATTCGCCTAAATGTGTCACATGTTGTTTTCAATTGCATTCATCTTTAAGTGCTTGAAACCATCTGATCAGAGGTATCATATGTCTTTTCCTGAGCTGTATCTATCTGTTTCATAGGCAGTTTAATGGAAGAAAGATCTATTTTCTACAAGATATTCAGTAAGAAGTCATGTTCTTGAGGGAAAATATGAGAACTTTTAAAAAAAAATACATTCTACAGGTGGCTTACTTGTTTACATCCTGTTTTAATAGAACAATTATTTGTATGTCTCTAGATCCCTTGCAAGCATGTTTTCTGCTATGATTGTGCTATATTACATGAGAAGAAGGGAGACAAGATGTGCCCAGGGTAAGTGAGCTGGAATTTGTTTATTAAAAAGGGATAACGTAGAAGCGTGGAAAAGGATCCTTATTTCACAGAATCTTTTTTAATGTACATAATTTTGTCACAGTGAAAAAAACACATGACTCAGTAAGAGAAGTAGTAAAGAATAGTGCTTACTGAACCTGATAGGTTAGTTTAACATAGCAGTTTTAACTAAACGATGAGGGATTCAGCTTCACTGCAGATATGCAAGTAGTAGAGATTTGAAATAGTTCATATGTTTAGGTTCTTCCCTCCCTTGGTAATTTGCAAAGAAGTGACAATTCACTAACAGTTAAGGGTCACCTGCCAATTATGTACTCTGAGCTCAGGATGGTTCTCTGCTCTGTGTTGAGTAATAAACCTGCATGCGATGCCAATTATAAACAACACCTCAGAAAATGCCAATCTACTTTGTATTTGCTTCTAGGGGAAACTGGTTTTGAAATATTTGAGTTAATTTAGGAAATGCAAGCCTTTTCTATTGGTATGGAAGTAAAAGCATTGGCTTTTAGCGTAAATACGTCTAGATTCTGAGCTGCCTTTGACAATGAACTGATTTTTTTTCCAATATAGCTGTAACGAACCTGTGCAGCGAATTGAGCAGTGTGTGCGAGGGTCTCTCTTCATGTGTAGCATTGTTCAAGGGTGCAAGAGAACATATTTATCTCAGAGAGACTTACAAGCTCACATCAACCACCGTCACATGAGAGCTGGAAAACCTGTTACCCGTCCTCCACTTGAACCTGTTCATCCTCCTATTGCCCCACCCCCTGCTGAAATTCCTGAGCGTTTCATAATGCCACCTGATAAGCATCATTTGAGCCATATTCCGCCAAAGCAGCACATCATGATGCCACCACCACCTTTACAGCATGTGCCACATGAGCACTATAACCAGCCACACGAGGACATTCGTGCGCCCCCGGCAGAGATGTCAATGGCTCCACCACCTCCTCGCTCGGTCAGTCAGGATACCTTCCGTATCTCAACAAGAAAACACAGCAATTTAATAACTGTCCCTATTCAGGATGATTCAAATTCAGGTGCCCGAGAACCACCTCCACCAGCCCCAGCACCTGCTCATCATCATCCTGAATACCAGGGTCAACCAGTGGTGTCCCACCCTCATCATATAATGCCTCCACAGCAACATTATGCACCACCCCCGCCGCCACCACCACCAATTAGCCATCCAATGCAGCATCCTCCCCAGGCAGCAGGTACTCCTCACATGGTTTATAGCCAAGCTCCTCCACCGCCGATGACCTCTGCTCCTCCACCAATAACCCCTCCCCCTGGACACATCATTGCCCAGATGCCACCATATATGAATCATCCTCCTCCAGGACCTCCCCCTCCCCAGCATGGTGGCCCACCTGTAAATGTCAATGCACCCCCTCCCCATCACTATAATCCTAACTCTTTACCACAGTTCAGTGAAGATCAAGGAACTCTTAGCCCTCCTTTTACACAGCCAGGGGGAATGAGTCCAGGGATCTGGCCAGCTCCAAGAGGGCCACCTCCACCTCCAAGAATGCAAGGTCCACCTTCTCAAGCCCCTCTTCCTGGACCACACCACCCAGATCAAGCCAGATACAGACCCTATTACCAATGATATGAGCAGTAAAGTGAACTGAGTATGCTATGAGAAAAAACTATACAGCAGCCTTTTAATGAATCTGACTGTTTGGACCTCTTGCTTTCTCTCTCTCTCCTTCCGTCTCTCTGTCTCTCTCTCTCTCTGTCTCTGTCTCTCTCTTTTTTTATTAATAATACCATTGTTGTGACAGTAAGACACTCTGGGCACTTGAATCTTAAAGGATTTTTAAGCCTTGACCATAGGACTTCAAATACACTGTAGTTCTAAAATAAGTGGCTTAATAGACTACAGCTATGTTTTAACAGAACTTATGTCCCTAGTGGGGCTAGACATGCCCCAGAGATGATTGCTTGTAATATTATTTCCTGAAAAATTGAGCATCCATTGTACCACTCTAAGTATCACTTTTGTTAAATCCAATGTTTAGTTTTACTTGTGATAACTTTTTGTTAACCTGTGTACAATAATTAAATTTAAATATGGTTGTAAAAGTGCTGGGTTTTTTATGTGAACTTGAGAGTATATACTATTTCTGAAACACCGTTTCATGTTTTCATGTTTCACAAACGCTTTTCCCAAAAGTCATGTTAGCATGACGGACATTCACAAATCCTTTCAAAATAACATTGTTTACATTAAACTGATTATTCCATGTTTAAGACGCTATAATCTTTCAGTATGTTGCACTTCAAACAGAAGACTTTAAGTTGAGAAAATTTCAGGATTACAAATGAATAATTCAAAAGATGCAGCTCTGGCATGATGCAAAGCTATATTAATTTAACATTTTAAAATCTTTTTTTTAACTCTCTTTTTGTCCAGAAAGTTAGGTGTAGCTTGAGAGCTCATGTGCTTCTCACTGTGTTGAACTCGTGTTATATGTTTGCCCACCTATATGTGTTCATATAGATGGTGTCATTGAGTGAGTTGCTATGTCACGTCCCAAAAATCACCTTCTTCATATAATGGACATTTACCTATTTTATATAAAACTTAAGTCCATCAAAAACAAGTGTAAGAAATTCACATTCTTGTAGTGCATTTACTGGTAGTATTGTTTAAACAGAGCTACACAGGAAAACCATCTATTCTGTTTTAATTGTCCTAGTAGGGTGTTCATTTTTGCATTCCAACATTAGTAATGAAAAATAAGTTTTAAAGTTTCATTTACTCTCAGTAATCAGCTGCATTCATCTGTAAAAAAAATAAAAAATCTAGTTTTGAATTAGGTTTCTAACCTTATGGTATCCCTCTAACCTTATGGTATCCCTTAAAATATTGTTGGGACCCAGCTTATGGTTTTCTTGTGGAAAACCATAATTTGTTTCTCAACATTTTTTCATCTGTTACCCAATACAAGCTGTTAGCAGCCAGGTTATCAGAGTGCCCTGTTGGCAGAACATTCCAAACTTTATAACTGTGCAGATAAAATATGTTTTCTAGTGGTCAGAGCAAGGGACTCTGTCAGGCATCTATGCTGCTTCTGCCACTGATTTGTTTGGTAACCTCAGGCAAATCTCAGGGCCTGGTTTTCAAATTTAGGTGCATGAAAACTCCACAAATGGGTCTGAAAAACAAATGCTTATGTGCAAAAATGGTTATTTTCTGTCAATTGACCAGCTGAGGGTGCTGTTGTAATATGCTTTAAAAAATCAGGTTTTGCCTCAGTTTTTCTATATGGAAAATAGGAATAATGCCCAGTTTTTCAAGCTTTTAAGACTGGGATGTAAAGCCTTATATAAGTGCAAGGTATTACAGTATAGGCTTTGTTGAAATTTTACCATTGTATTGTGAAGCAATGGAAGGCCCCAGTAACTTATTTTTGTTCTACAGACTCATAATAAAAATTATGGGTACTTTTGAAGTACCTTTTTATAGTGGAGAACATATTGTTCATAACTCAGTCAGCCACACCTCATTTAGGTACATTTTGTTGATATGCAGAGCACTCCATCTAACAGCTCATCATTGTCTTAAGTGAATGTTTGTCTTCCTAATATTTTAAGCCATTTTATTTGACTGCTGTAGCTTTTACTCCACAATCTCCCCCTTTCTTTTTAAACTGGACTCTTTATTTTGGTGATGACTGAAGTCAATGAAAGGTTTTTGCCCCATGATCCATAAGAATATGGTTTAATACAACACTGGCTTGTTTCTCGCTAAATCACTAGTAATGTCCTCCTGTTGATTTCTCTTACCATGGTAATGCTGTTCAGTTGATTAGCATAGCTCTTTCACTCAACCTAGCAATTCACAGAATAAGCCCATAATATTACTATATCCAAGATAAGCCCTTAGATAAAATACGATTTTTTTTTTCCTTTACAAAGTCAAGGATAATTGGCATTTCAGAGCTTAGGGTTTGATCCAGTTCTCACTAAAATCAATGAGGATTTTGACTTACCAAAATGGGATCAAAATCTTTGCTTGAGATGGCCACTTACTAAATATGGTGTCATGCAACCACAGAACAGACCCAAAAGGCATGCAGGAAGTGGGCCAGTTGTGTTAAGTGCTTGGCTTGAATCTATTCTTGCCTATTTAAGTGCTGTGAATGCTGAGCACAGCATAGAATAACAGAGTTGAGGCCATCACTTATATATCTACCCTATGAAGACATTGATTTACTGTTTGAAAAATTGGCACCTGTGGGAGCTCAATGTTAGCAGCATGTTAGCCAGCTACTTTTCAGAAAGAAACAATGATACTAAACTCAGAAATGTCAGTTACCATTAAAAATATGTATACATAGCATGCTTCAAATTAAATCAGAGTAAGAAGCATACATAGCATGCTTCAAATTAAATCTTCTTACCTTGTAAAGACTTGAGAATCTCAAATGAAATAATTTCCTTGTAAAGACACTTTTCAGTAATTACATTTCAATTCTGAATAAAGATCATGTTTGGCTGCACTTGTAAAATACTGCTACTGTTCAGAAATAGTTCTCATGCTTTAAAGAAACTTTGATTACATTATACATTTGCTAGCCGTTCTGAGATTTTGTAATGAGCACATAAATGTCAGAGAGATGATTGTTAGTATCTATCATTAGATTAATCCTTTAGACTGAAGAGATTAAAACATCCAGATTGTTAAATGGCTTGGTGAAATTCTTTTCATCAGTTGTTAGAGGTTTAATTTTTTTTCAAAACTATCAGGGATATAGATGCCCAATTCTTTTAGGCAGCCTTGAAAATTGTAAGGCCTCACACATTATTTCTGTATTCTGTGCCTGAATAATACACTGTTTAAAACCAAAGCAAACTGAATGTATGCACAAATTCTTCTGCCCACTATGAAGAATGCTACAGTTTGTGTGCATGTATGTTATGTATCAGCTGTTTTCTTTTAGAGAAGAAAAATGTGAGCTCTACTGTTATAACTGATACAAGAAAATATTTGAACTGTTGGATATAAATCTAAGATCAGAAGTTCTGCAGTTTTAATTATAGTGTCCTTGAGTAGCTGACTAGCTCGGTTGGAGCAGTAGTGCTAATATCACTTAGGTTGCAGGTTTGATCCTTGGCTGGACTAGATGCTCTCTTGAGGTCCCTTAGAGCTTTACTTCTCTATGATAAGACTAAAGGTGGTGGAAAGTTCATTCTGTCTAAAAGGAGTAAAATGGAAGCACTAATGCTTGCTTTTCATTACTAGATCTTTTACAACTGTAGCAATACAAGAAATGTTGTCTCTGTCCTATTATATATTTCAGGTTCTCCCAAAAAGTATAATCAGTGACACTGTTTTGTGTAAAAATTAAGTATAACCTTTCTACATTTACTAAAATGTTCATGGCTTTCGTAAAATCCATTATATAGCTACTTTCTGTTCTCAATTTAATTAGCTGTCTTTACTTAGCTATGTACCATTCTGGTGGCAAAATAGGTATAGACTCCTATCAGAGAAAACCTCAAGTTAAGGGGGAATTACAGATGGAATGGGATTGAATCTCACATTGGTATCTGATGCTGAATTTCTAACTTGAAATGAACATTGTGAAGTGAAATACAGTTACTGTGTAAGGCTTGTTCTCATTTTCATCTTGACATATACCTGAGAATAAGGAGATTTAAGTATTACATGAATTATATTTCCATTGTGTAACATTTCACTATTCTGGGAGTTAAAAACCATTATTCACACAGTCATTCTTCTTTGTCTAGTAATGATGTCCTGATAACTGATTCTTCAAATATATTGTATATATACTACCCTTATTTACTATTTTGCACAGCAAAGCTGGAGTTTAATGTTTTACTCAAAATTGTTTGGCAGCAGTAAATGAAAATAGTTTGGTTTAACATTCGATTTTCCCTCAGCCCCTTAAATAAGGCATCAAACAATACAGCTTTGGAATCTTTTCTTATTGTGAATTACATCTTCTTACTCTCTCAAAATGTGATCATTAATTTATTTTTGGGATTTTATTATTTATTTTGTTCAACAGTACCAGCCAGAATTAGGCTTAATTATGCTGAGTTTATTCTTTTCAAAGACATTGCAAGTCTCTGTCCTAAGATTTTTTTCAAACTGTACATTTGTTGGGTATTTTGACTTTTTATAAAAAATTGTATACGACTGACAGTTTTTAGGATAAATGATCAGTTGGGTGACTCTAAGAGAAGATTCATGACCTTGTGGGTATGACCGGGATTCTAAATACTGTACCTGAGTTCAATTCCTGGCTCTGCCACTCACTTCTTACATGATCGTGGGCACTTTGCTTAATTATGCCATGTCTCTGTTTCCCATCTTTTAAGTGGAGGTACCATTTTTAACTGTTTTGTCCAATTTGGTCCTGAGTCAGGAAAACATGTAAGTAGGCAAATTTTTTCAAATGGTGTATGTTGGAGTCTGGCCATTTCTACATGATAAATGTGTTTAATAGTAGCATTCTTAGTTGTGTTATGCTGCTCTGCTTTCTAAACTAGAAGTGGTGTCACTGCATCTGCCCAGCACTGTGGGAGGGTTAATTAGCACATCTGTGATCAGGCCAGTTAGTTGGTCCCCCTGCTGATTAGCCCACCTGTGGCATCATGCAGCTGCAGTCACACAGCTCCTGGTCTAGGAGGCAGCCTGCCTGGAGCGGCACAGCGCATATGGTAAGCTGACTGTCAACAAGCCCTCTGCTGTTTGTGTATATGGTGCCTTCCCACAAGGCAGCCCTGATCTTGGTTGAGGCCTCTACACAGAGCACCATAAAAATGAACAGAAGCAGCATTTTTATATAATGTATTAATAACCAATGCAGATGCACTGCTGTTTCTGGCCCTCCCTCCCCCAAATGATTCAGCTTTTGGTGTGGTTCTGTTAAGAAAAGTATGAAACTTCCCTTCAGGTTCTTCCCTGTTACTATGACCTCTGCCATTATGCAGCTGGCTTCCCCTTGGTGTCATCTGTTTCCCTTTCTCGTTGTCCTGCATGCATGGCCTGGCCCCTGAAAGCAAAGCTGGGTCTCTTGGGGGCTAATTAAACAGTTTGGTTGATTAGTGAGCCAGAAGCATATCCAGGTAATGCCTTAGGTTATTAATGAGAAAAAATGGCACCTTTTAGTGAAGAAAACTGTGGTGGTCAGCCTATGGAGTAAGAAGTTCCTATATGCACCTGGCAAATATTTAGAGTAGATCCAGAGGTTAATATCTTGGGCTGTTGGTGGAGGGGTAAGGGGGAACATTTACAGCATTTATGTAAATGGTTCCAGTGTGTTTTGGTGTCCTCTGTGGAAATATTTCATTTTACAGCTTAGGGGGACTCCTACATTAGAGCACAGCCATTCAAAGTTAGGGCTATTTGTAGCTTTTATCTAGTCACCTGCATCTCAAGTCAAAGTTCCCACTAAACTAACCATAGATGACCTTAGGTGCTGGAGCAGGAAGCCCACCTGAGGAGGGGCAATACAGGTCGGGGGGAAGGGAGGGGAGGGAAAGGGTGGAGACATGTGAGGCTTGGGAACTGGGGATAAAAAGGAAAACTCCCTCTGTCTACACTGAATATGGGCATTAGGAACATCACTGTTTTAGGTTGTATATTCACTTAATAAGGCTTTTGAAAGCATTTTTCTTTAGGAGCTAGACCAGTGATTCTCAACCGGGGTGCCTGATCACCCTGGGGTGCTGCCAGATCCTTTGAAGGGTGCCAGGAGCTATAAGGAGATAAGCAGATAAACCAGGTTGAGGCTAATCCCTGTCTGGAAGATCCCCCATCTCTACTGCCCAGCCCCCAACATTGTAAACCTTGTAATATATATATTCGTTTTTTAAACTGAGTGCCACTCAATTCACATAAGTTTTGGAGGAGTGCCTCAAGTCCAAAAAAGTCCACTGAGTTAAGCAAGTATATCATCTTAAACCAGTGATTCTTAGCTGTGTACAAACATGAGTCATAAGATAAACCCAAGGATTTCAAATAGGAATCCATACTGTTAAAGACATTCTGCCCCGTTGTGATCTGAGTTCTTTGCAATAGAATTGCTGTAGTATTTTTCAGCAGTCAAAAAACAAGCAAAAACTCAGAGCTGACATTTTCTGAGAGGTGTCTTTAATCTAGGAACTTGGGAGCCACTGTCTTAAAGACACAGTCTTAGGTGTTTGTTTGGTGGCCTGCTTTTGCTTTTCTGACTGGACCTTGTTCCCAAGCCTGACTTTGATATATTTTTCCCTTGAGGTACATGGATTTTTTTACTGATTTCCACATCTGTCAATCCCCAAAACAGAAGTAAAATGTACTGTATGTGAAGTGTGCCAATGAAGAACTACTGTTGCCCTTTCACTGCTTGGCACTATAAGATGCACTGGACCATAGGACTGACCCCCAGACATGACTTGTTCATGGAAGTTTAGGCACTTTGGAAAGGAAAAGATTTTTTTTTTAAGAGTTGTCTGCTCTCCAAGGAGGTAAAAAGCCACAAGGTTTGCTTTGTAGTTTGTCCTGGAATGAAACACTAAAGAACAGAACATCACACTGCTGTGGTCAAGCACCACTGACCTTAGAGGCAGATCAATATTTAGGTTTCTGAGAGGCCTTTGAAGTAAGAAGCCAGTAAATCTAAATCCCCAAGTGGACCATGGAAGCAACAATATAAAACAGGAAGCATGTGGCCACAGTCCAGAAATGGGAGTCTACCAAGAGAAACACCGCAACTAAATGACTAACAGAGATGAACACAGAAAATTGCAGAAGCCTGAGCAGGGGAGCCTGTGATGTTCAGTGAAGTGGATAATCACCGGTATGATGCATACACACGCAGACAGATCATGGTTGCACTTTGGAAAGGAAAAGATAGCCACAGCTGCAGCCTGAGCTGCAATTTTCTGTGTTCATCTCTGTTAGTCATTTAGTTGCGGTGTTTCTCTTGGTAGACTCCCATTTCTGGACTGTGGTCACATGCTCCCTGTTTTATTGTCGCTTCCATGGTCCACTTGGGGATTCACATGAACAGAACTGCACAAGTGCGTGACAAATGTCCAGCATGGCTTTTGTATATTGTATATGTCCCTCTCTGAAAATGCAGGGTATGGCAAGTGACAGCTAGAAATAATGCAGCCGGGGTATTAACCAATGTTTTCACATTTCACCAAGTAACTAAATGTTTTCTTGTCCTGTTTCTTGTGTTTTAACATCACTGGAAGCCAAAGAAATATACCATCCCTGTGTTTGTAAATGCTGTGTACATTGATATCAATATTAAAGTTCTGAAATAGATATGTGATTCACTTTACATACCATTTGAGACATAAGAGAAAAGGCCTACCAATTTAAAAATAATTGTCAGTCAGTCAAGTCAGGTGTCTTGTAGGATCTTCAACAAAACGTTATCAAATTATGTGTGAGATAAAGAAAAATGTGACTAAATTATTAAACTATAGTATATAAATACAAGACCTCAAATAGCTGTTTAAACATGACAGTACATAATTTTGTTACTGTACAGGTTGTTTAAAAATTGTTTAATAATATACACATATATATACACATATGTACAAGTGGTGGTAGGATAGCCTCAATCACTTTTTCTCCTTCATAAGTATATAAGCTAACAAACTATAAAAGCTGAAAATTCACATCATATCAATCTACATTATATATAGCATACAACAAGCCAGTTCCAAACCCTGAAACATAATCCTGTGTAGTAAAGTCCCTCATACAATGTATGAACATATCTGTAACTGTCTTCACACACGAATATATCCGTATTCATCTTCTGCAGGTGACAGTCTATTGATTGGATGATGCCAATGTTTAGAACATTAGAATTTTGTTTCTCCTGGAAACTGTAGAAAAGAAACAAATAAATATTACTTCTAGATGCAGAATAGCTTCTTCATGCACCTTTGTAAACTGTACAGAAAGATTTTTTCCAGTTTTGGGAGGTTAGAAGGGTTTTATGTTCCAGACTAACCCATATGTTCCACTCTGGCTCATTTGTGGCTCAGTCTGCTCAGGATATTTCTCTTTCTCTCCCTTGCAACCAAAGGCTGTCCTGACAGTGCTACTTTCCCACAAGAATTACAATTGTGCCCCATCACCCAAGTCCATGGTCCACTTGGGGATTCACATGAACAGAACTGCACAAGTGCGTGACAAATGTCCAGCATGGCTTTTGTATATTGTATATGTCCCTCTCTGAAAATGCAGGGTATGGCAAGTGACAGCTAGAAATAATGCAGCCAGGGTATTAACCAATGTTTTCATATTTCACCAATTAACTAAATGTTTTCTTGTCCTGTTTCTTGTGTTTTAACATCACTGTAAGCCAAAGAAATATATTATCCCTGTGTTTGGCACATGAGGTTGTGAGAATAACACCACAGGGAAATGTACTCACTAACCATGTCACCTGACTCACTCCAAAAAGAAGCCTGTCTCAGTTTAGAAGTGTGCAGTCCCATCATTAGTCTTTTCCTCTATGGTAAAATGGTAGCAAGCAGTGGAGGGGAGAGGCCTCTGATCAGGAGGTTCAGCAGACCCCAGGGGAGAGCCTCTCATTTACTGCAGGCAGGGCAGAAGGTTTTCTCTCCATCCAAAGTGGGGAACTTCTCCTGCCCCATGGCTATCAGAGAGCTCATGGGCTGAGAAACCCAACTCAGGGTGTTGTGGCAGGGATGGGTGGTCAGCAGAGAAAGCAGTGGAGCTAGTAATGATGGACAGTTCTCCCTTTCTTCCCAATGAGGAATTGTGTCAGCCTGTTGGCTGTAGGGAATATGCTTAATAATTTATCCTAGGCAAGGTCATAGCTTCCCACCACTGCAGTGGTTTGCCCTAAATCAGGGGCCAGCAAGCTATGGCCTGCAAGCCAGATTTGGCCCACATAGCCTGTGGATCTGGCCCACAGGGTCACAGCTTTGGTGGTATTTGGCAGTAGAGGGGGGTGCCCCGAAGCCACACCATGGTCGCATGCCTGGGACTCCAGTGGAGGAGCACTGCCTGTGTCCCACCATGCTCAGGCAGCATGGGTCCCAGTAGAGCGAAGTTTCCCCACCTGCTGCAGCTGAGTGGGAGAGAGAAGCAGCAGCAGTGATTGGGTCCTAATGCCTGTCCGCCTCTGACATGAGCTGTGTTATTTTGGTGCCCCCCAGCTCCTGCTGTGCTCTCTGCTGGAAAATGTTGCCAACTCCTGCCCTAACTAGCACACCAAGTATTGGCTGCGAGTCAGTCCTAAACAAGCAGGATGCAGAGGTTGGGGGTTGGAGGCTTGTCCTCTTAGGTCACTGTCCAAGCCTGACCCCACTGTCCAGGGGTTTGAACCCTGGTGGAAGCTCACATGATATGAGCTGGTAGCTTCAGTTTGGTTTCTAATGGATCACTACATCCACATCACCAAAGCCAGAACTAGCACCTTTTGATGGCTGTATCATCAGTGACCACTAAGTGCACTGCTCCCATGCTCCTCCAGCATATAATGAGATCCAGTGTGAGGTGAGCCCCTGGACTGTCGGGGGGAGGGGGAGGTGCCTTTTACTGGTGCTTGAATTCAGGCAGAAATGTGTTAAACAGTAAAAACAGAAGTGAATGACTCACCATGTGTTCCCGGCTACGTAATCCTCCATCTGTGTTGATGATATAGTGATCATAACTTCCCTTCTCCTGTAGTGAACAGAGAAGTGTCTGGGTTAGGAAGTTATGCTCTGTGCCTTTCTCTTTTTAGGTAATTTTAGAGGTCATTTTGCATCTAGAACTCAGAAAATGTGGCTCCCAAGGATCTTGGCCACAGCATCCACTATGTCCATGTCAGGGGTGGCCAACGTATGGTACATATGCCACAAAGGGCACCAACAGATTCTGTGTGTGGCACATCGCTGATCAGAGAGTGGACAGGCAGCACAGTGGCAAATAGGGCAGAAAGCAGAGCAGCAGATTGGACAGGGGAAGAATGTGGGGCTAATTTGTGGGCCACCTGTCAAAAAGGTTGGCACCCACTGGTCCATGTGAGGGAGGGGACAGAGCTGAGTCCTTCTGACCTAAGCGTAATCAATCTTAGTAGTTCTGTGACTGATCCAGGAGCATCCAGATTAAGAGGCTGTATCAGTTTTAACTCAGATCAGTTGAACTAAACCAATTACGTGCAACTTTTGAGTGTCACCAAAGCCTGGCACACTTGAATGCAAGCAGCACTAAACCTCAATGAGTCTCTCCTACAAATGCTGCTGGAGTGTAATCATGATGAGGGGGACCTGAGATCCAAAAGGGTCCCTGTGGCTAGTGAGAAGTGGTAGTAACAGAGCACTGGATAGGCTGATCCTCTACGGAAATGACAGCTCTCTTTGCTGTGGCTCCATAAGATTGAAAGGCCATGCCCCTGACCCATGACAGGGCTTTTAGCCCCTATCCCTCTCTGACACTGACAGTTTGAAGAGAGCTTTCCTTCACAGACTTTCCTGAGTGACCCACCCTGGGCCATCCTCTGTTGGGTGCTTGTGCAAGAATAGATGAGACTAACTCTACAAATGACCTGAGAGCGTGGTAAGGTGCTGATCCAATGGGCATAGAGGATAGTATAGCAACCGGTACCTTGTTGGTCTGGAATTTTGGTGAAGTGGCCATGTCCTTCTTCATCAGGATGTACAACACTGCATCATGAATGGTGAGGAAAAACATAGAGGATTTCAGCTCCTCATCAAAAAACACACATCTTTCCAGTTTATCCAGGAAGCCATCTGCAGGGAAACAGAATCAAGTTACAAATCGGCAACCTACCAGCCTGGAAGTTATAAACCAATGACCTCCAGGCCTGGAAGTAGAAAGGAAGAACTCAGAGCCCCAACACGTCCTTCGAGAGAGCACAGGGATTTTCCAAGAAGGGCTCTGCATCATGTATTTGTTCAGATACCATGAGGCCTGAGGCTCCCCTATCTAGCACCTCGTGCTGCCATTCATTTTCTGCAGCACAAAGTGAGTATCAAACAGTTCCCTTCTGACGGGCAGCAGTTCACACCCACCTGCATGCCCTGTGCAGGCGAGAAAACAATGACTGTATGAAGGGCAGGCTAGAAGAGAATTTGGCTCATCTTGCCTCTTTTCTTCTTAGAGGGTGCAGCCTAAGGCACCTGTCTTGAAGAGGCCAAAAGCTGTGTGTCTGGGCTTTGCAAAGTCCCTACATATGGTCTTAAAGCACCATCATACAGTGTACAGTGGATGGGCCATAGCCAGTCCACATAACCTGTAGTTTCACATGGCTGTAGTTCAGCAAAGACAGGTACCCTATGGCTGTAGTGTCTGGGCAAAGTTAGTCACTGGGTTCTACTATGACTGGGGGGTGATGATTCCTTTTCCCATCCATCCCAGTGAGAGATTTGTGCAAACACAGCCTCAGGCTCTGTTTGCTGTCCCAAAATTGGGCAATTGCTATATGGGTACTTTCAGGGGGCACAGGCAAGAGAGACCTTTTTTATTTCTCTCTATACATCTGATTTCTTGGTAACACCAATCAGATGGAAAGATGTGAAGATCTAAAATAGACAAAACTGTCAGGGAACAAGACTTTGTGACAGGAAAAAGTGAGCCGTGGGATATTTAGAGTGGATGCAGACAATGCTATCCCATTTCCCCTTCCCTCTGCCCTCATCCAGAATGAGAATTTTATTTTGGTTGACGATTGTTTAGTTCAGTTTCTGGGTATAAATCAAAGTCAGCCTTGCTCATCCCTGCAAGGTTAGTTTAATTTGGGTGTGGCAGCACAACTTCAAAGAGTATTTTCATGTAAAATTTATCCTCAGTACTAATGTATGGTGGGAAATGAGGATGGTATAAAAAAGAGGTTCTCTATCTCTCTGGCCCAGTGAACATTTAACAGGTAATTGGTTGTTTAAAACAAGGGGGATCAAAATGGAAGAATTTACCATGTACTCCCACAATATAAACGTCTACGTTGATCCGGATAAATTCTTTTAAAGTCTGTGAAATAGAAAGCAGACCATTATTAGAGACTAACTCCTTTGTTATGGACTCAACAGCAATCACAGTGATTAGATACAGCAGGTGTCTGCAGCACCTTTAAGAAATCAGTTGTATTTTGAATGCAAATAAATGGATTTTAGGCTCAGGTTCTGCTTCTAGAAGACTCACTGACCAGGATAGAATCCTAAAACTAACACTGGAGTTTAGAGTAAACCTTGATAAGCTACACTAAGAAAGAGTTTATAATTATATATTTTAAGGAAAGGATTGATATTAAATAACATTAATAAGAGATGCAAAGAAAAATCTTTCTTTGAAGAAAATATCTCAGTCCAGCATTCATATCAATGCTTTACAGATGAAGAAACTGAGACTCCAGGAGGTTGACAGAATTTTAAAAAATACAGAGACTCTGTGCCACTCTGAGCTGTTCCATGAAGCATGCACTATCTCTTGTTGTACACATGCCTAATGCTGAAAAAGTATATTGTAGCCACCACAGAACATCATTGTGTGTTTGCCACTAACCATCACTGAGACAGAGAGCCCAGGGATAGTGTTGGACATTTTCCAAACAGCAGCTGTACTGCATCTTTTTGGAGTGCAGCAAATGGAGGACAGGTGTTCTGTGCTTCAGTGCAGCACTCGAATTTGGTTGGAAGTGGTGTAGACATGCCCATAAAACCAAACAGCCATAACTTCTACTGAAGATAATAGAAACTGTGGGCACTCAGCTCCCATGACAGTAACACTACTAGATTTGGGTCCCAAATTAAGGGTTTAAGATGCCTATCTGCAGGCACTGATATTTGAAAAGTTGAACTAAAACTTGCCCAAAGTCACTTATCACATCTGCGGCAGGAGCAGAAGTAGGAGCCAGATTCCTAGCCCAAACTCAGAACCCCAGGCCATGTTCTATATGTTATGTATGGTCTAGCACATCACCACAAACACAGTTACATTTTCTTGGAAAATTTAGACAAAAGAGGAAAAACATTTTTATTGCTATTTTTATTGCTATGTCCAGGATTTTCAATTTAACTGAAAGCTTTTCACAAGGAAAGCACATACTTTCCATGCACTATTTCATTATGCTGAAAACCTAATTTTCTGTTGAAAAACAGTTTCAGTGGAACATTTTCTATCAGTTCTAGCCACTGAAGTCATTGTGAATGAGATTTTGAGGCTCTAGGATTAAACCTGTATGCAATCTATTTTTACGCTCATAGATGCACATCTTGATGAATGACATTATCTTTGCACTTTTTTCACCTGTAACCACTGACTAGTTGTTTCATGAAAGGTAATTGTTACCTGTTGGAGGACTCTCACGGCAGAAACATCAAGAAATGTTACTGCTGAAAAATCAAGAATGATGCTGTGGACGTCAATCCTGGGCACTCTGATGTTGGGAGGAAGGTCGGAGTTCCAGTCAATTTGCATGGGCAAATCTGCCATGTTAGTGGGCTGGTCCAGTTCCTCTATTCTGTTGTTATCTAATTCTTCATCAGACTCAGTGATACCATTAACTGTGCAAATAAAGCCTTTCTGTGTCAAAGAAAAATGGCTAGAATTAACATTACAGCTTAAGCTATTGGGCAGGGTTTGGAGTATGTCTGGTGCATACACTTATATACAACACTGTGGTACTGAAGAGACAAAACACTAAATGAATGGATCATGTTCTACCCATGCTTTGTATTGAAAGGGATTCCTTCTCCCTGTACTTTGTACATTTCTGTTTTCAACCAATTACTTTGTATTTTGTTTTGCACATTTCATCAGGGTCTGGAGACTCTCTTCAACTTGGGCAGGCTCTGGATGGTCCATGAAAAGTATGAAGGTGGTTTACTTGAAAAAAACTATGTATGTGCTCCAATCCCAAAGTTAGCTACATATCAAGCCTTTACCTCTTTGGGATCTGATCTTGAAATGTGAGGACAAGCAAGACTCACTGAAGAGAAGATGCCTGCATTAAGCTGTAGGACAGGGACCAGGGCTTATATTTAAAAAAAACTTATTTTTGAAGATTATATTTAGCTTAAGCCATGGCAATATGGGGAAATGCTTAACTTGTCCTAACTGGCATTGACATGGGGAAAGCAACCAGCTCTCACTCAACTCAAAGTGAAACTGGGGTGCCTAACTACTAGGGGTGCCTTTAAATCCTTTCTTGTAGTTTGTCTCTTTCCAACCTTTCAAGTCAACACACTTACAGGGGTTACTTGTAGCTCTCCTTTCTTCAGCATCTTTCGGATTTTCCTCAGAGCTTTATTGCGTTTCCTCAATACCCTCAATGGATTAAAGCCAACCTGCAAAATTACACCTTGATTAACTCTCTGGATTCCTTTGCATGGAGAAGGGAAAACTTGATGTTAGTTTAAAAGGGACTGCAGGGGGAGGGAGGGGGGGCAGGTTATCAGCAAATTTCTGGCTAGTGATAGAGCTACATTAAAGCAAGCAAGCAAACAAACAATGGCCTTTAGATAATTGACTCTAGTGAATCACACATCATGTGCACAGCTTTCTTGAGAGAGCAATTTAGTTGCTGTCAAGCAAATGACATCAGTCTTTTGGAAATTCCCTTTCTGAGCTGGATTCTTATCTCAGTTACGCTGGTGTCTCTCTGTAGTAGTTCCACCTGTTAGTGTGCTCCCATCAATCATATCTGAATTACTTTGGATTAGCTGAGTGACTGGGATCAGAATCTAGCCCACAGGATCTGCTTGTTGTCTAGAGCAAAACTTCCTTGTCTCACAGCTATGAGCAGCGCCATTAGATTTAATGGATGGATAAAGGACTCAGTGACAAACTCCTTGAAGTCAGTGGAAGGATTCAGGACTTCAGCAGACTTTGGATCATGTTCATGGTGATAGGAGGTTGGGCTCTGTGTTCCCTAGAATTGTGCTGCTATCTTTGTGCTATGCAAGCACCTCTTTTCTTAGTGGGTAAGCCTGCACAGCCAGACAAAAGTATGATTGTAGCACACACTGGCATGGTCCTGCTAGCAGAGAAGAGAGGGGGCAGTGCAGACTTCAGTACAGGCTAATAACCCAAGTGTATGCTGTGGGTCCTTAGCTGGCTTGTACTTGGCTGGCTTACCCTTGCTGAAGCCCATGCTGTGATCTCTCCACTACTATATTGTGACCTAGCACATAAACTGAGATGGAGAGTGCAGCATACCTGCCTAGTGCCTCCATATGCAGTAGTCAAAGATGGGATAATACTGGAAGTGAGAGGCAGAAGGACATGGGAAATCTCTGGGTGTCTGTGAAGGGCTAACCAATAACAGTGAGAGATCATCATCAAGGGTAGGCCACAGAGGGAGTTGAATTCAGTTAAAAGAACATCCCCAGAGCCAAACTGGTAAAATCCCTGCAGGCTATCATTCCCTGATCTCTTTGCTGACATATTTTCACATAGCTGTTTTGCTGCTTGTCTTTTAGGATTGTCAGATCTTTGGGGCAAAGACAGCCTAGCACTTCTTGGGTTGCTATTGCAAGAAAATATTTATTACAGCATCTCTTTGAATCTTCTCTGTGATGCTTTTTTTTTTTTAACTTTTTAAAAGTATGTAATGACAGTAGAACAGTAGTAGGCTCGTTCCCTCTCTCATGGACACACGGGTACAAATTAGGATCTTAATTCATTAAGATTTGTAAAATTCTTTGAGCTCTTTGAATTATATTCTGTATATGCAAATTAGTTATTATTAAGTATTATTTATTTTTATTATTTCATTAATTCATTTGCAATCAAAATAATTTCTGTGAAGTGACAGGCAGCAAAAAACTTACAGCTTTTATAAGCTTGTCCTTGAAGAACTCCATATTAGCAAAGAAGACTGGGGCAGAACATCTGAAAATCTTCACTCCCTCTGGTTCATATATCTACACAATAAAACAAAGGTATTACTTACAAGCACTATTTTACAGACCTGCAACAGTCAATATAAATAATGTATAAGCTCTTACATCTGCATAATCCTTTCTGTTTTTGTAGATGTTGCTTCTTCCCACATTAGCCAAAAGAGTGCAATTTGGACTGTAAATGAATACAAAAGATACTGATGTATTATGCTAAAACTTATCAAATGAATAATTATTGCTGTGCTAATAAACTTATCTTGCTGTGTGAAAGCTATACAGCCCTAATTTCTGATAAAATAAATCATGCTCAGGACTAAAGATAACTGTATTGATTGTGGAGTCTATTTAAAGGCCTTTCGCACTAAGAGAGAAATTAGCCATGAAGAATTAATTCAAATGGCAGGGAAAAACTATCCTGAGAGAGACTGAAATTTATTATGAGTCAGATTGGGAACTCTTTATTCGTGCTGCTGAGTGGTTACTCGCACAAGTAGCAGCAGCAGCAATCGTAATAAAACCTAGCTCTTATATAGTTAACTAGCTTCTTTTGTCCCACTGCAGTGTCAGATTGATCTTGTTGGCTTTGTCCTTTGATGGGAATTATGAGTAACTGCTCCCCAGTGGACTCCCAGTCCAGCCTTCTGATGAGACCTATAAAAATACTGAGGTGAGTATTCAAATTATTTTTCTCATTAAGTGGGGGCAAAATACACTGTTCCCATTTAACACATGTATACTTTATATTGTTTAACACATGTATACTCTAATTCCTTTGTTCTCTGTGAACAGCATGGGCCAAGTGTTTTCATGAGATCTTAAGTTTCATTTCTAAGTGTGTCCTTCAATTTGTGGCTTAAATCAGCTGTGGATGCAAATGCTATTACTTAGCTATCTAAAAACCTAACTGACATTCCCAGAGACAGCAAGGACAGCTCTATCCTATCATGTCTACTAGGAATTTATTTTGAGTACAAAATTGCAGGCCTGACTGAGTTTATTTCCAGCACGATATTTGCATAGGATTTAACTTTATATTCAACCATTACTCACAACTGTGTGCGGAATATGACAGTCAGAAGTTCAAATCCAACAGCAGCTGCTAGTCCAAGATCGAGCCCTAGTAGAACAGCAGCTACGAAAGTCACAAGCCATATCATCTGTAAAGAACAGACACGATATCAGATGTTATCATCCATGAAAAGCAGAAGCATGACCCCAGACTGGGGGTCAGGAACTGCAAATCATAGGCCTGAGGTGGACTGTTCCTAATCTCCTGAACAAGCTGCTTAAATTTTCTTCCTCACCTGCAGAGCACACATGGTTTAGCTTGCCAAGCATCACCAAGGGGTAATGGGAAGATTTCTTAGTTAATACTGGAGAATCTTTTTAATGATGCTAAGGTCTACATGCAATTGGTATGAAGTGCTTGTAGAGTCTCTATCACTTAAGGCAGGGGTGGGCAATTATTTTGGCTGGTGGGCCACATATGTTTTGGTGAGCTGTCAAGGGCCGCACACATAAAATCTTTCAGAAGATATCATTTTAACGAATTATAGATAAAAAAATCATATACTAAAACTCAAACATCTATTATAACATATTTTTATTTTATTTAAAAAATAATTTTGTCCTGATTTATGGTTTTTTGAGTAATGTATATAGAGGTGATTCCATAATAGCTCAAAATAAAGTCTTACTTTTGTATACCATGTGTGGGGTGGGAGATGGAGGGAGGGGATTGGCGGGATGTGGGGTGTGTGTGGAGGGGGTGGGGATTTGAGTGTGTATGGAGGGCAGGCATGTGTGTGGGTGGGTAGATGTGCGAGTGTGTGGTGGGGGGTTGCCCGTGTGCTAGGTCCTGAGAGCTGGCCAGGGGTAGAAAGAAGGGGGTGGGCAGGGGGTACATGCAGCAAAGCTTGCCCAGGCAGTGTAGGTGCAGGTGCTGGCTGCACCCACAGTGCTCTGCATGGGGCTGAGCCCTGCTTACTCCCACCCAGGGCAGTCTACACCATGCTCTCACCTGCACCCAGCCTTGGCTCTGGCCAGCATGCATAGCTTCCCAGTAGGCCTGTTACTGGTGTGATTGCAGCTGCCTGTGTACTACTTAGCTCCCCCTGCCTTCAGCAGCTCCTTTTCCTCCTGCCTCTGTTATGCTGCTCTGCGCAGCATGTAGTGCAGGGAAGCAACGGTGACTATGGGGATGTGTGCTGGGCACCGCATGGCCAGCCAGGCAGGAGTGGAAGCTGCATCTGAGTGGCTCCTGCCCCAGTGCACGATGTTCCAGCTCCAGGCCACCTTACACCCACTCAGCCACCTGCAGGTTGCTGCTCATTACACCAGGCGGCAGAGTGGGTGGAAGGTGGTCAGGAGCTGGAGCCCTGCATGCTCGGGCAGGAGCCTCCTGGCTGCAGCTTCCCCCCTGCCTGGGTGGGCATATGGTGCCTGGTGTGCATCCCCAGGGCCGCTGCCACTTCTCCAAGCTACCTGTTGCCTGGAGCTGCATAGCAGGGGCAGGAGGAGGTGGAGGTGTTGGAAGCAGGAAGAACTGAGCAGTACCTGGGTGGCTGCAGTCCCATTGGGAAACTGTGTGCTGTGTCTGGTGGATACAGGTGGGAGTGTAACATGGGCTTCTCTGAGTGGGAGCAGGCAGGATTCAGCCACATGCAGAGCAACATGGGGGCAGCCATGGGCTGGATACAATCAATTGGTGGGCACCCACCTGCAGGCCAGATTCAATCAGTTGCTGGGCCAGATCTGGCCTGTGGGCAGTATTTTGCCCACCCCTGACTTAAGGCATCCATGGCCAACTTGGATAACCATTTATATCAGGCAAATAGTGCTAGACATATGCCAGCCTCTTAGATGTCAACGATAAAGGCATCGTTTCAGCTGTGGTTAGTGTGCTGGCTATTTTGTGCAGACTCAGCTGTTCTCATCAGCTTGCTACTAATACCAGACATGAAGTAGACAATTTTGTCCACTTTACTGCTAATTCCAGCTATATTGAAAAGTCCAGTATAAATAGTAGGGATTAAAAAAGGTATATTAAAAAGTGCTTCTAACTAGTTGAATTTTCTTTAAAATCTACCAAAAGAGCAAGATAAAATGTAAATCATGATATTGGCAAATGTAATATTTGTAAATACATCTTGGACATTTAATAGAAAAGAGGAAGTGTTATTATAATTATTATATATTGATAATAGTATTAGTGTCATTATTATAATTGCATTATTATAATATAGTAATACAATGAAGTATTAGTATACAACAACATTTTATTATTAACATAATAATGTTACTGATGATGATGACAATGATGATAGTAATAGTAACAATAATAACACTACTAATAATGATAATAATAATGTTTGCCCATAGTTGTTGTCATAATGTCTACTGCCACATTGTTGGTAGATAAGTATCATTATCCCCATTTTTCAGATTGGGATGCTGGGGCCCAGAGCAGTTAAGTAACACAAAAAATCAGTGTTGAGGATGGAAGCTAGATCTTCCAGTTCCTAGCAGTGTGCCTTGTTTACTGGACAAGGATGCTCCATGGCTATATCGGTACAGGTAACCCCCAAGCTATACCGTTAGCCAGTGGGGGACAACCTTTTTGGCTGGCATACCACAAATTAGCCCTGTACCCTCCCCAAGTGCCACTCTAATCTCCTTCCCCTGCCCAATCTGCTCCTCTACTTTCTGCTCCCAGCCTTGTGCCCCCTGCTTGAGTTGCTGCTCTGTCTTCTGTTTCCTTCCTGTGCTCCCTGCCCAATTTGCTACTTTGCTTTGTGATCCTTGCTCTGTCTACCCATGCTCCCTGCTCCCTCCCTGATCTGCTGTGTGCTGCTACATAAACTGTCTGTGCCACTTGTGGCACATGTGCCACAGGTTGGTACCCCTGCTGTAATGTAAAGTGATGTTCTTTACTTGATTTTTGTAACTATCAATGGTTGTAATGGCAGATATATGCACATTCTAAAGAGACAATATGTTCATAAATTTGTATTCAGTAAGCTCAATATTCATTAATTTTCTGACTGCTTTTCATATTTTGCCTTCTATGAGGTCAGAGATAGTTACCTGTAAGTCTGAAGTCATGCAGAAGGTAGGGCAGAGTGGCACCTTAGCCACTAGCTGGTTCAGAAAGGCATGTTATAGGTTGTTGCCTATAAAATGTCATACCTGCCTAAACTAGCTAGTCTCTGCCTCACTTGAACTTGAAAGGTGGAATTTTTTAAAGGAGAGATCTGTTTGGGCAAAAATGAAAGTCAGGAGAAGAATAAAAAGAGAGAAATAAGATAAAAGCATGAGACAGAAAATAACCCTCAAACAATTATATGAACATAAACAAAGCAGGTCAATAGTATATGCAAAGCAAGTTAAAAACCAAACAGAAGCTATAAAGGAATCTGTAAAATAAATGACTGCAATAGCATTTTATCTTTAAATGCATATTAGTTCCCACTTACACAATCATATTTGTCCTTCTTCCATAAAATGCCCACTTCTCGGAACTGCATCAGCATCCCCTTTAAATTGCCAAGAGCCAAAGCCGCAAGGACTGACTGTTAGAAAACAAAGCACACGCTGAATTTTCAAGACAAGAAAAAAAAAAAGCTGAATGTTATAATGCAAAGACAAATGTTAATAGAAGAATACCATGCATCAGAAGAGGAGTCCTGCCCATTTGGGAGGCCTACCACCACAGCCTATTGGTTTGGGCATTCCTCTTCAAGGTATGAGATATCGGTTCAAACCATCCAGATTTGGATACCTAAGCCTCAGAGAAGGGCAGTGTGTAAAACACACCCCTCTTCTTGCCTAGTGGATAGCTTAGACAGCTTCCTTCCTAGCCCTAGGCTTTTGTGGATCCTCTCTGCATACAGCGTGCGGGGAGTGCTGCAGGACTGGGGATTCCATTCAGCAGCCAGGCACTTAACAGTTAGGCGCTGCAGTGCTCAGGCTTGTGGCAGCTAAAGCACAGTTGTGGATCAAGCTCTAGGTCAATGACAGTAATACTTTCCTATGATCCCATGATCCTATGTTCTTTGCAGCTGCATCTTTTGTGGAGAACAGCTGTGGAATTTAACAGGATTGGGCTCTATCCGAGCTTAGCCCAAGCCTGCTCCTTCTGAAACCGGTACCAACATTCCCATTGACTCGAACCATAGCTGCCCTGGGTCTTTAATAAATACTGAAAAATTCTATGCCAAATAAAGGAGTACCTTCTGCAGTGGCTCCAGGAGAAATCCAATGGCCAGGATCACAATCATGACAACGATGGCTGACAGAAAACCAGCAATCTGAACAAAAAAAAGGTTTCCACTGTAAATTCCTATCCTAGAGCATTTTGTGCTGTCAGAAGCCTTAAACAGGCATTCATTTCTAGCACTGAGAAATTTCTACTGCTAGAAATCCTGTTGGACAGTGAGCATACAGGCACTGAGCCTACATCTGCCCCTCTCCTCTGTTCTCCCTGCCTTCCCCAGACTGGGGTGAGCCTGGACTGGGAAATGCATGGGAAGCAGGGGTTGCTCCGTTCTCCTGGCCCCTCCACCCATTCCCTGGACCAGTGGATCCTGTTCTAGGGAGCAGGTGGGGAGCACAGTGTGATTGTTCCACTTTTCTCCCAGACTGGACTGGAGAGTTTCTCATGCAGCAGAGATCTTCCAGGTATCAGCCTGGAAGATCTTTTTCCTTGTGGGGGCATATTTCCCCCAGGCGAAATTGAATTAATACTTGTATGCTCATAGTTTCTATTGATAGAGCAACTATTCTCCTGGTAGAAACACAACACCTGAATATGACCTGGGGAGGCAGCTTTAATACACCAAACTCTGTCAAGATCTTGGATTTGTGATACCTGTGTTTTGCCTCCTGTACTCTCCTGCACACCTGTTCTTGACAGTGAGGTGCTTGCAGCAAATCCTTTGAAGGACCCACCAACGATGTTACTCAGTCCAAAGGCAATTAATTCCTAGCAAAATAATACAATTTTTTTTAAATAGTTCATTAAGATTGTTCCCAATGCAAAGCATTTCTAATGTTACTTTCACTTCCAGTTTATTAAATTAAACTGTTTTAAAATTTTCTTACTTACCTGGTTACCATCTATTAGGTAATCATGCTTGATGGAGTATACTTTAGCCACTGAAAAGGCTATGGCAAATCCAACAATTGCAATGGAAAAACCATCACCCACACAGCTTTGGAAAACATTTATATCAGGTGCAACAGGAGCTTGAAATCTGTAAAAGAAACAGAAGCTGAGAGCTGTCCCTTGGCGGGGGTACTTAAGAAGGCATTATAGTAAGTGAGACATCTATTGCACTGGGGTATAGTCCACCTCTTGTGCTGTCTTATTCATACACTTCTATGTTAAGAAATGATCAAAATATAATCCTGGATCTGAACACTACTGAACTTTATGGAAGTTTGGCTCACGATTTGGACTTCATAACCTGGGACTTTTCTGTAATCATCTCAGTTTGCAATTCACCTGGGCAAATCCTGACAGGTGTAAGATTTTTTGCTATTTTTGGTACGGTGCATATTACTTATGCTCTGAGTAAAAAGCTTACTTACTGCTAAGTGCCTTGCACAGGTCTTCTCTGCCCGTGTGGATTGAGTTGCATTCAAAAGCTATAGATAGTTCAGTAAATATTTACTAGGGAATGTCAGTCTTGGAGATTATCCACCAGGGGCCTTAATTATACTTGCTGCTCCATGGCCTTTAGGCAGGAACTTTTGCAAGTCGCATTCAATAACAGGACAATAATATGTTCCCACCCTCCAGGCTGAAGTGACAGAGATTTCCCAACATGCTGGGATATAAGGGTACCTGTAGACATGTGGGATGTCTGCTCTGATGTGCTGTAATTACAGCATGACAGAGCAGACTCGATTAATCAAGTCTACTGGAGCATGCTAATTAGCACACATCAGCAGCCTCAGCATCTTGTGTATTCAGCATCCCCTTGCTTCAAAATGGTGTAGGGGACGGGCACTTTAAAGCTTGTTGAATGAGCATTAATTAAAGCACCCCTGATGCCATTTTGAAGCACGGAATGCTGAATACATGTGGCCCTGTGGGCACTTTAATTGGAGTAGCTCCCAAGAGCTGCTCTAATGAAAGCACTCCACCCCAGGAGCATATGTAAAGATGCCCTAAGATATCAACAATTTATAAGTCATTAAAAAGCCATCTTTGAGGTCAGTTGCTGAGGGGAAAGATTGAGAAAGAGAGAGAGAGAAATACTGTGGAAGGAGTCTAAAGAAGTTGGATGATCCTCTAGTTCTAGGAAACAAGAAGCTCTAGGAAGAAGCAGGTGTGCATATAGACTAATGTTTTTAAGATCTGTTTTCCTTCTTAAATGCTTGTGTTTTAAGAAAATTCTGTTTTGCTTTAAAACAGCTGTTTGGCTCCTGGATATCATTGCCATAGTTACTGTATGGAAAAGACCACTCATCTACAGATCATGTTCCTTCTGGTCTCATCCCTTTGGCATTCTTGGCTGTTCAGTAACTCAGCAGCCCAGCTTCAACAGGAAGAGTGGCATGTCTCCTCCCCAGCAGGCATGGGAGACCTAGGTCTCCCACTTCCTGAGTGTGTGCTTTAACTATCAAGCTCTTGGGCAAAAGTTGGATGCTACCACCAAGTGTTATCTGAATTCAATGCTGCTGACAGAGGTATGGTTTGCTTACAACATACCTAATGAATCAGGTTCTTTGAAATGTAGGTGCTTCTGAAACGAACCTGGATTCAACCCAAACTGCTTATCACCAAGCAGCTGCTTTATAATAGTTTTTATCTGTTGAAGTTAGTCCTCTGAAAGCTGGGATGTCGGTTGAATGCAAAATATTTACTTAACTTCCCAGAGAAAGGAATTTATTTTCGTGTAGTTTATTTAATCAGGAAGTAGAGATAAATTAATTTGGCATTAAGGACCCTATCTGGGAAGGACATTCACTGCATTGGGATAACTAAAAATTACACACTTACCCTTGTTCTAATTTTCCAACAACATCTACTTTAAATTTGTCTTTGAAATTGCAGGCATAGGATATACCTGCTGCTATGACTGTCTGTAAGATAAAAAGATAACTGATATTAGGAACTTACAAATAAGAAAACACAGAAGCACCCCTTGATCAAAACTCCTTTCCCATTTCTATAAGAAACATGGCTTCTCTAAGATGTTTTCTAATGACCTCACTGGTGGCAAAATTAGGCTTCCCAAACTGGGTGCCCTAGGCTGTGTGTAAACGAAACAAAGGGCACGTGCATGCAACACTTTAAAGCAGGCTAAATGCTTTTGCAGCACTTTAATGGTGTTGGTGTTTACATGCCTAGGTGGTGTATTGCACATTAATTCCAGCTGCTGTAGGAAATTCAGTAGTATAATACACCTTAAATGACTTGGGGTGCAGCAAACAAAAACTCTTTTGAGGAGTTTTAGGTTGCTGCCCCTACAGCTGTGGAGTGAAGCACTGGGCTCCATGCAGCTCCACAGCTGTGCAGGAAGCCCTGTAGGCAACCTGGCAGTAGCCCAGGAAAGCAGGCTCCACCAAAAAAAGTGGCGAGCCAGATCTTTTTCCCACTCCCCACCTCTGGAGCCTGCCTGCCTGAGCTGCACAGGGGCCCAATGCTTTCCTCCACGGGTGCGGTGCCCCCCCCGGGACTGCCCGAGCCAGGTGCCTGTGGACGGGTCTACCAGCCCCCCTGCAGCTCACAGACCACTCTGCCTGCTGGCAGCTCGCCCTCTCCTCCCTGCCAGAGAGGCAGATAAGTAACAGGGTGTGTGAATGACACGGGGGTTTAATTGGCCCTAAATTGAAGCTGTGTTTTTTAAAACCCACCACTTCAATTTAGGGCCCCCGTTTCATCTACACATGTCCCTAGATGTTATAGTTAAGTCTTGTGCCCAGCACCCACCCCGCCCCGACATTCCTTTGAATATTTCCATTAGTGAAGGATTGCCCCCCGCTCCCCAAATCTGAGTATAATAATCTGAGTATCATATCACTAGAAATATATAAAGGGCTTAGTCCATCTCTCTGGGTGTCTGTGTGTCTATCTGTCTGTAATGCTCTTGGGGGGTGAGGCTCCCAGTGGGGCATACCTCCAGCCAGTGCTGAGGACAGGCCAAATTGCCCATCAAGAATGATGGCGGGGATGGAGCACCACCATGATGGTGGGGATGGAGGGGATGGAGTGGGGGGTGGAGGGGGTTGCGTGGGGCAGACGCAGATTGGGGTGGGGGGAGAATGACAGTGGGGACGGAGGGGACAGAGTGGGGGGTGAGGCTACCACCACTGCCCTTGCCCCCTCATGGCCCTGCTCCTTGAAAGTGGTGGTGGCATGGAGTGGTGCTGGTGCAGCGCTGGCCTCATCGCTCCCGTCCCTTCCATCCCTGCCATCATGGCAGCACTCTGTCCCTGCCAGCTGTCATTCTTGGTGGGCAGTTCACTAGCTATCCTATAATAACCTATTGGATAACAACCCCTATGTAAAAAATACTATGCTAGTCCACAACAGTGTTCCTCCATCCTTTCAGCTTGATGACCACTTATTCAAAGTAAAAAAAAACCTGTTTGCAGGCTCGTTACATTTTCTATAAAAGTGAGATTTCACGTTAAATTATCAACAATGATAAGCCTATCTCTCCTATTTGATAGAAATATTGGAACTTGATCATAAAAGGAAGGTGTGCAGGAAATGGGGCAATGAGATAAGGGGAGAGGCCACCTGGCAGTACATGTAAGGGTGCAGTTACTAAAACTAGTAATGCAGTTGCTGCATCTGACCTTGCATTGAAGGTCCAGACCACTCAAAGTTATTCTGGAAATTGTGTTTTCATTGCTCACAAATTGTAATAACATTCCCTGAATTCATTCAGGGGCTTGGAATAAATGATCCTTGAGGTCCCTGTGTTTCTGTGATTATATGATTTGCGATATGTCTTGACCTACTTTGTGAAAATCCTGGGGGTTGGAGAAGCAATGATAATGTTGTCCACCTGCATGAAACTTATTTAATATATTTGTCAGAGTGGAAAGGCAGCATTTGTCACTCTGTCATGTAGAAGTAATATTTAAAACTATCCCTCAGTGTCACTATCATTACACTGCACTTACAAATAAAAGTTAAAAAAATCCTTACCACAATGAGTTCAATTGGGATGGGTGCTGGTAGCTTGGCTTTGAATCGTTCATTAATTTCTTTCACCACAAACACAATGATTAGGATAATGAGTGATGTGACAAGGTCTGCAATGTTTGTTTTCTCAATCTGCTCAAATATGTTCTTTAGAGTCTACAAAATTAAGAAGAAATATAGAGCTTTGGAAATATGCTGTATTAGCTTGGCTTAGTAGACATTAGTCTTTCAAAAAGGAAAACATACATCTGTTTTTCATTAATTATTTCTTTAGTTTGGGCCAGGGGTGGATTAAGACATTTTGGGGCCTGGGCAAGAAGAAGGGAACCCCTGGGGGGGGAGGGGTTCAGAAGGGTTTATATATATAAACTTCAGATACTTTCAGATCCATTGTCAGGCATCCTACAGATCCAAGCCTGGAGGCTTGGGGTTCAGATGCCCCCAAGTTTCACTTGTCCTCAGCCTATAACCACAGGAGCAAACTAGGGAGGAGTGCCCTGTTTCCATAAAGTTGATGTGTAGCTTAGATCCTCCCACTGGAAGCTGGCCAGTGGGAAGCTGACTATGAGGATCTCATAGGGAGTCTTGTCACATTTGGACCAAGCTGCACCCTCCACTATACAGTGCCATTTTAAATCCTTCTTGGCTCTGGTACTAAGCCAGTGCAGTTGATCCTTCACTTGATCTTAGCACATAAGAAAAAAAATGCTTTTTTTATTTAAAAAAATATTGATCCAGGTACCCCTCCAGCATAAAAAGTCCCTCCAATCATGGTTTCAGAGGTGTGTGACTGGGTTCCCACTCACTCGTTTACAGTGAGTGAGCAATGTGAAGTAAGTGAGGGGAGGGCTTATTTGAATGTTGTATTTGCATAGTCTTGGTATATGCAAAATGGGTGTTTAGATAAGTCTTCTTGTTTGTTTTGTATTGATTACTGTGCCTTTTCAATGAGTGAATGAGAACTGGGTTAAAACAGAAGAATAGTCATATATATATAGCAATGTTCTTCCTGTAAGTATGGGGGTGGAGGTGCCTTGGGTCTGGTCCAGTTGGCTCATTTGTTGATCTACCCATGGGTAGGGCTCAGTTCTTGTGAAACATAATCACTTGAGAGCTCTGGTGAGTGCACTTCTGTAGAGGGTGCATCTTGCTTGCTGCCCAGCAGTCAATAGGACTTGAACTATCTGCTGGAAACTTGATTTAGAACCCCATTAAGTTATTTACATATAATCTAACAGAAAGCTATCTGATGCTAACAGCTTTTGGCTGTTATGAACCTGAGTTAGAGTCCTAAAGATAATGACAAGGTGAAAGCCTCTAACCCCAATCCCAGGAAGATAGACATTAAGAGGGGGAAACTGAACACACACAACATATTCACAAATTCTGTTTTGCTTCCTTTCTTTGTACCTTTCTCCTTTTCTTTATTTCTACTTTTTAATTACCCAACATGATTTTGGGGAGCTATGCCGAAATCAAACACATTTGCACTATATGTTCCAGTTCAATAAGGAAAGGTAGATATAATTAAGTGCTCAAATAAAGTTGAGTGAGCTATTAAAGAAATGTTAATATACTGTAGGAAAGGTTATATAATTAGTTCACTTGGGAACTCAGTAATAGATATAAGTATCACAAGATTTTGTTAATAACACCTCTTTTCCATTTTTTTTCTTTTTGTACGTTTCTTTTGGCATGCTTATTTTCTCATATTATGATCTGTTGGTATAACTTTGTTACATGCAGGGCATGTCTACACATTGCCCTACGTCACTGTAGCAATGTGCTACATCACCATATGGCACGCTATGCCGACATAGTGATCATGTAAGTCTGCATATGACTGGCAGCTACTCCACCATAGCGATGCACTCCCCCATTTTAGTGTGCCACTACAGCAAAGTAGCAGCAAAATCTAACTGTGTGCCACATGCACAGCACAGTATGAGCAGTTACTGTGCCATGCTTTAGTATCCCAAAAGGAAGTACTAAAGCATGGTGCCGTAGCAATGTTACCATACAGCAACATGTAGACACACCCACAATGTAATGCACTTTTATTGTTTCAATGGTGTTAGCAATCATTAAGTACTCACGTAGATCAATGCAAGTGGTCCACTAAATCCAGGGACTTTTAGCTGCAGCATAAATTTCAGCTGAGACACCACAATATGAATAGCTGCAGCCGTTGTGAAACCACTGATTAATGACTGAGATAAATAAATCACTATGAATCCAACCTGTATTATTCCCAGAACCAGCTGAAACACAAAAGAGCCCATCATTTGTTGATGTCATCGGAACAGTGCAGTATTGCAAGCCCCAAGCATTCAAAAGTCATGAGTTAAGTCCTCAAAAATCATGTGTGTAGCTTAGCATTAATGAGATTTTAAAAAGTAATAGATTTAGGAGCCAAGATGCCTAGAAACTTTTTCTAATGAAAACTGAGATTGTTACTTGATCACAGGCATCCAGGATGTGGGGCTTTAAGAAAAACATCCAACATTGTCAGTCTTACTATAAAATTGTAAGAGTTATCATAATGGAACAACAACCATTGTTACAGGAGGTCTTAAATCTAGGCATTTTACTTTAAATCCAAAGCAAATGTCCTTGTTCTTAGGATTTTCAGTATACCCCTATTTCTTATACATTATGAATACTTCATAATGGAAAAACAAATATTAGAAATCATCACCCAGTGAAACATTTTACAGTATTCTTTTCCAGGTAAGTACCAAAGCATGCTTTTTTTCTCTCCAATTAAATGGTCCCTTCTAAAGTACTATAATATGGATCTTAGCTTTTTTATACTTTAGCATCACAACTCCATTCTGCTCTAAGACATATGGCTGTGTATAGCCCAAATGTCAGAAGCTTCCAAATAGCTGACCCAGGTGGTTCCTGGTTAAGGGGTTAGATTGTTACATGGGAAATTATATGTCATTATGACTATTAGTAGGAAGAAATGAAGGAAAAATAGGGAGTCTGGATAGATAGAGACCAACCTGGAAAATTCCAGCAAGGACTGTAATGGATGCAGCCACCATCACTTTCTGTTCATCTATTGTTGACACATTTGTTAAAGTGCTGTTGCCCAGATCATCAGGGACTAACCTGGTAACTACATCTCCCACCATCAAGCTCAGAACAGGGAAGGGACCTAACAAACACCAAGTAATATGTTAATGTTGAAAGGGTGACATATCACTATTCATCCATCACAATTTTATTTCATATTTGAAAAATGTTACAAAACTTTCTTAAACAGCACTTTGTGCACTGTACATATAGTTACATTTTCCAATATTTCTTTAAACATCAGGTTACTACAGATAAACAGGGAAAGAGATCACTGCAAAGCAATGTGCCATCTGATTTAACTTACCAATTGAGATGTGTCTTGATGTGCCAAAGAAAAAATAGATTATGACTGGAAAAAAAGCACTATAGAGTCCATAGCTTGGGGGAACATTTGCTAGCAAAGCAAAGGCTAGACCTGTAATTAGAGGATAAAAAGGGAAAATTATGTACATATTATAGCCTGAAGTCCACAGATGTTTGAATCCTGGATTTAAATGGTAATTTAGGAGAAACAAAAGAGAAGCATGTAGTACAGATTACCTTGCAGGACAGCCACCAGCCCTGTGCTGACCCCAGAGACAATGTCACTCAGCATCCATTCCTTAAAGCGATAGGCTGGCAACCAGGAAGCTATTGGAAGCAAGCTTAGAGCAATTCTTTTGCACTTTTGTGAGGAACAACTGAAAAGATATGAGAAGCCACAGTTCAGTCATATCCAGCATGTAAAACTAAGCCTGTCTATAGCTAAACCCAACCTTGGTATGAGAAGCTGAATAATAAGAATACAGATTCCAGCCCATCAGTGGAGCCAGGAAGACGGACACAAGCTGCCTACACTATTTCCCTGCTGCAACAGGAAGATGTTTAAGGAAAACGTTGTTTTAAAATTATTTTGAAATAGTAGATGTTGGGTTTGAATAATGAGTTTTCATTTGTTTCACTGGAATGACAGAGGTGTTCATGAAGTTCTGAAATCATCTTTTGCCTCTTTCTTCCATTAATGTTCAAGCCAATAATTGTGTATTACCTTCCTTTCTCACATATCCATTCTCTGGGGTCTGTAGAGGACACTGGGGTACCTTTTCCACACTTCAAGTAAACAAACACCATTCTCATCATAGGTAGGGGACAGTCATTTCTCATGGTAATCTAACAAGATGAGTTAGAACAGGGGTAGTAAGACTTCAAAGGATTTGAGTTCATTTGGATGGATGGAGCTGCACCACTGGGGAAATGAACTGAATGGAGTTAAACTAAGAAAGAGTTTGGTCTTCAGTGTTGTGCGTTAACATCTGTTTTCTTCAGAAGGGAGATGTGGACTTTGTAAAAAGCAACAGCAGAAACCAAATGAAAGTCTTTTTAGAACAATAGCTGGAATGAAACTGTAAAAATGGGGGTCACACCATCAGAGAATTGCAGCTCAAGCTATCTATTTCTAACAGCAATATTTACAACAACAACAAAAATACTTCTTACCGAAAATATAACTTCAGATTGTCCAAAAAGGTTTTGTGGTATCTGTGTACTTTTTCATATTCTTCACCAAATAAATTCTCTGAGTACACCGGTCTGGCCACAACATACTGATTGCCTACAGGCTCAACCATTTTTCCTGAAATGGTGGGTTGAGGTGTGTCTTGTTGTCCTTAGTCACCTAAATACCTGAAAACAAATAGCAGAACTAGCTTCTTAAATATCTCAGGGGTAATGTAAGGGGATGTGCACAGATGAGTGACTTCTAAACTGAGCATTACTATCTTTGAAGATCAAAAGAAAGAAGATTAAGAAATACAATTTCTTTCCTGTCCTTCTCACATTGCTGGGGCAAGAAAACAACTTTGTAAAGAGAGACAGCCAGAAGGTTAAGGTTGATTTCAGGTTTACTTATCTATGAGCCAGTTGTCTATGAATGAAGGCTGTCTTAATCAAGGGGAATTAGTTTTCTGTTAAAACAATTTCCTGTTGTGACACTGAAAATGAAGAACACTATGCACTGCAAGGAAGGCCGAGAGCTTAATAAATCTCACCTAGCTACGTAAGAAGGGACGAGAATCCATGCCAAAAGTCCAGAGCTGAGACCTCTTGGACTCCGGAAAATTTTGGAGCCAGACCCAAACTTCTGGATCTGTATATTTCAATAAGGGGATCTGTCCAATAATAAAAACAACCAAAATAGCAGTTATTTTAAGTAGATGTTTTTGTTATGACTTCTTGAATGCTTCTTCCCCATGCACCTGCAGTAATGCTCATCACAGCCTGGTCTTCAGTGTTATTTTCTATCCCATCCTTTATGCATCCTTACATGTATTTGTTTCTACTAAGCAGAAATATCACTCAGCTGTCCAAAATGATACTCAGGTCTGTTCCCTCAGTGGCTATCGTGAATTTATAATCCAGCACTGTGACCAAGTAAGTTATGTCTTCCTTCTCGTTGTACATTACCACCATATGGATTTTTTTCAGAAGTCAGTTTGATTCTGTCTCTGTGCTGCCCTAAATTAGTTTAGTTAATCTGAAATTCCTCACAGTTTTCCTTGTCTTGGTTATCCCAAATACTTTTGTGCCATCTGGAAAATGTTACCACCTCACTAGTTAATAAAATATATTTATTATTATATTGTGTGTATTATATTTCTAGGAGAGCAAGTGTCCTAGAATGGAGTCTTGCTGTACCCAACTGTTAGTCTTTTGCTTGTGTGAAAATAGACAGTTACTCTTAGTTTCCTGGCCTAAGAACAGAGGTTCCCAAACTGTGTTCAGTGGGGCACTGCCAGTGTGAGGAGATCTGGTGGGGCACATGGTGCAAGTTCGTTCCTCTTGTTTCCCACTGCTAGACTGAATTTAGGTACATTAAGTACATTTCTGAGGAAATGCCTGCATGCAATTGCTGTGGCTGTCACAGGGATGTTGTATCATGAATGAGCACATGCTAGCTCATCATCACATCATCTCTGCATTCAGATGTGGTTCCCCTTGTGTAACAGTTTGAAAAGACCTAAGATGTTCCTCAATTACATACCAAGACACTGAGCATCCTATCAGCCAGGGCCTGACCCAAGGCCTGTTGAAGGCAATTGAAGTCTTTTAATTGATTCCACTCTCTGTCTGGATTAGGGATTTATTCTACTGCCCATCACTGTAGTATGTGAGTGCTTAGATCAGATCTGAGGCCAGCACTGTTTAGTAGGAGATGTGGTTGATTATATTCTTCCTTCACTGATCCTCAGTTTGCATAGCCTAGACCCGTTTCTAGATTAGAATTTGGCCTACCAAATATTTTTGTTTCCTCATATGTTAGAATCTGTATATGCTTTTTTTTTAACGTAATGTTGTAAGATGGGATATTGTTGGAGATCTTCAGTAGGTTTCTTTATTGCGATATGACACATGATGTGTTGTATTGACTCTTTGAAAGATAAAAATAAAATATTGCCTGTGACTAGACATTATACATTTTCTTACATATTTTCCCTCTTAGATTTTACTATAGATTTCATTAATTCCTTTGGCACCATTTGTTCTTATTGTCCCCCTTTTATTGTTTTTCCTGAGTAGTAAGCTAATTTACCAAGCTCAAGATATATAAAATAAGTTTCTTTAGGACTCTTTTATCATCCTATATTTTATTTAAAATTATCACACCAGAGTTAAGTTTCTTTGTAATAAAAAACCCAACACTAACCCTGATTCTGGTTAGATTTAGACTAGTGTCCTTTAGGTTTTCACGCACTATCCTTAATATTTCTGCAACTTGAAGATTTATTCTTCAAGGTGAATGAAACTGAATACCAGTAAGTTCCACATCACTACGTCTGTGTTCTTTTCAAGTTGTTCTTCTGTACATTGCATTCAGTACTGTCACCTCACACAGCATTGTTTCTTTATTGCTTTGTTTGACTTTGTGCTTATCTATAGTCTAGGCAGATAACATTCCACGATCACTTGCATTTCCATTGGGACTTAGAAAATTGTTGCTCAAAAATAATTAACTTTCCTATTTACTGGTATTTTTAAATACTTTATAGAAACTGAAATGCTGTGGCAGATGCCACATGAATGATCCAAAGAATTCTCTCCTCTTTATATCCACAAATAAGATTCAGCACCAAGAGGCGGCATGTTTCCTACCCTACCTTGTCTAAGATCCTCTTCCATTCACTCCTTGGACTCCCTTCTGAGATTGAAAATTTTTGCTAATTCTGTTGGTGGCTTTGGTAAATACAGTCCACTGGGAACTAGACTGAGAACACAGGCCTACATTACATAAGTCACTAAACAGCTATCAAATGGTATCAGCTTTCACTTTATTGACCAAAGCTGTTTTGAACTTGCAATCTAGTGATAAAATTGGGTGCGTCTACACAAGACGCTTTGAGTGCAGTAGACTAATTCTACTGTACATTAGCGTAGCAGGCAAAACCCATGCTAATGCACTAATGCGCAGTAGATTTAATCTACAGCGCTTTAGCGTCACAAAAAGACCATTCAGTTGCACTAATGTGCAGTAGCGCCAGTTACAGTGCAGTAAGTTAGTACCTGTCTTTACAAAGTGTCTTTGCAGGTACAAAGTGTGTTCCCAGTGTTCCTTTTCTGTTCTTTATTGGATCATACCCCAACGATATTACTATAGTGTCTGTACACCTACGAGTGCTACATTAAGCAACATGACTAAAATCTGTTGGATGTAAAACTAGCAGTAAAGGAAATTTAGATTGGATATTACGAGGAACTTTTGGATTTTGAGGGTTGTTAAGTATTGGAACAGGTTACCTAGAAAAATTGTGGGCTCTCCACCCCTGGAAAATGTCAAGCACAAGTTAGACAGAGACATGGCTGAGATGATTTAGCCAGGGATGATCCTACCTTGAACAAGGGCTTGGATTAAATGACCTCATGAGGTCCCTTTCAGCCCTACTATCCTATGATCCTACATTCTTATTTTGCATAGATATTGTTATTGGAAATTGTTAGATACAAAGTCGTTAAACATTTTTTTTCTCTTTTAATTTTATCTCTCCTACATATTAATTGAAACAAAATTTGGTAACTTCTTAACTGAGTCTTCTTACCTAAGTAATAGTAAGTATGTTAGCAAATTATGCTCCACTTTTCATACATAAACATATATTAGGAAAAAAATCCTGATATAGAAACAAACAGCTTCTATAAGGAAGGCTTTTAGCTTTCTCAAGGAATAATATTCAACTTAAACATTTTGTTTATGGTATTACTTTAAATAGCATTACAGAACTGGTTGGTCTGAATCCTACCTGATATCTTCAGTGAAGTCCTTTAGAAGAGAGCAGCCAAGAATTTCATGGCAGACAGAAATCCTAACGTTTTTCAGAGGTGATGCAAGTAGCTACTGCTGTTCTTCATTCCAGTGCTTCCCTATATACTTGTGGAAAATGTGATCATATATGTGGAGTTTTAATAACTAACCACTATTAACTTTTACAGGAATAGGAAGATTTCACTGTGGCCTTGACCATTGAGCCTATCCTCAATAAGGATGATAAGGTGGTTTCTTTAAGTTCTCTGTGGGATTGCTTAACTGTTTGGTGAGCTGTTTTAATTGGTTTGCAGAGGTCAGTACAAAAATGCCGATGAATAAAAAGACAGAGAATATTGTTGCAATCTTCGTGCTCCTGCCAAATCTCCTAAAAAGAGAAAGCCAGGGTAAGACTTAGATGAGGGAATCTCAAAGGAATAGTTAAATGTTATAGGAAATGGAGGCGTTGCAAGTACACTCCTTATTTCCAAGCCAACACCCCAGCTAGGTGATAAAGGGACACTGGTGTTGGAAATCACGGCTTTTGGACAAGCAGCAACAATTGTCAAAAGAACCATTTGCCACCTATCTGCATTCTTGGATGGCAAACACCTTTTAAAAATGCAGGAGCCATAAATCCTATTTTCAAAAGTGCCTCCTAAGTGTCCAATCATTTCTGAACCTTGTGAACATTATACCTAAAAGTGTTAACTGTGCTCATGACCACTTGTTCTCATTAAAGATCCTGTGAATCTTAATAAAGGCCAAGGGAGTTTTTCCTGATGATACACCCAAATTTCGTCATTAATAACTACTGCGGGGCTACCGTTGTTGCTTCAGATTATTGCTGTTACATTCTCCAGTTTCAAAATGCCACAAAAATAGAAATTACAATTTGCACTATCAACAATTCAACATTAACATGGGGTGCATCTACATGTCCAATTAGTACAGAGCAATAAACTCTGGCACAATTTGCACCAGAGTTTATTTCTCCTGGAGCGGTGTTTATTGTGCGTACCCAGGACTGCAGCTTGTTGAGCTGGGAGGGAGCAGCCCTGACCTGGCAGAAGGTCTGAGGGGGTCAGACCCATGCTCTGGGTGGCAGTGTTGGGTGGCAGAGGGGCTGTCTGGGATGCTCCAGTGTGGGGCTACCTGGCAGCCAGCCCCGCACTATAGCACCCTTGTGCTCCACCCAGCCCCAGTCACTGTCTACATGTGCACTGATTTCAGTGCACATAATGACTCTGCCATAGGATAGAATTTGTCCCAGACAGTACTATCTTATGGCACAGTTAATTAATTTACTGCATCCTAATACAGGCGCATGTGTAG